TTTTTTTTTTTTCTGTTAGTGGGTTTCCTTAAAAGCTACCCAGCAGATCAGTGACCTCAGCACAGATGGCAGAGTGATGGGTAGATGGCAAGTTAGGGAGAATTTGACAGGTTTGAAAACAATGCAAGATAGTTGGCTGTAGCTTGCCTCTAATCTTTGGCAGCTAACTGTTACATCCAGCTAGCCTGCAAGCTGTAGTAACTGTAGGCAAGGTAGCACATATTGAAATCTCTTAGCACTGTAAAATGATATCACTTAGATTTTGTAGTCTATGTGCACACCCTGAATGCCCCCCCCCCCCAACAACCTACATGCACATACACAGCCTAAGAACCTGGGCCAATTTCACCTGCTTTGTTCAGTGACTTCTGTTTTTATAAAATATATCTTACACAGGAGTAGGTTGAAGTGTATCAGCTAAAGTTTGCAGACTGTGGTTCAAAACTGGAATACAATTGTTCTTTGATGCAAGTTAATTCAGTTACAGCACATCACTAGATGGTGTCATGTCTCCTCTGTTGTGAAGAGTTAACAAATTCAGCTGCTGTGATGGCTGTTGAGTGGAAACTAAAGTTCTTTAACAAGTGATGGCTGCAAATAGCTGTGAAGTGCTGAGGATCCTGGCAGGAAGCTTGTGTCTCATTGATGCTTCAAAAAGGGACTCTTTTCTTTTTTTTTTCTTTTTTTGGAGTGATGATAAGAATTTATATCATTTGATAAATGTATGCTGTAATGCTTGTAATGTTTATTAGTTTTGATGTGTGTTATCTATGATCTGAAATTAGAGTAGACATGTCTAAGAGCCTTTGTTAGATTGGAATTTTGTAGTCATTATATTTGTTTAATTAAACATCATGGAGCAACAGACATCAGTTGTAAGGCCAGCTCTGTTCTAACCGATATCTGTGGCTCGGCACCAGGTGGATGTGTGTAGAAATATTCATTCAGTGTAATTGATTTGTCATGGAAATTGCCAAAAGCCATGGCTGTGTCTGAAATCACTCCCTCATTTACTAATTTATAATTCCCTACATGATAAACAGGTTCTCTTGGGGAGTAGTTATAGAGAGATTTTGGACACATATGAATCATCCTCATTTTAGACATGCTTACAGGTGTAGTGATGCATAACTAATTTACACATCTGTCATTTCAGGAACAAGGATGAAGCTATGCATTAGGGGATTTTTGTCAATAGTAGTTCTACACTGAACAATATTTGAGAGAAATAGG